CCCCAAAACCCCAAAACCCCAAAACCCCAAAACCCCGTAACCTGCACTTTTATTGAAAATGAGCAAATCATAATATTCATGAAAGCTCTTTTTCACAATAAAAAATCACACAATTCAATTGTTTTCATCTTTGAAAGAAGGAATATAAGAGTTTCCCAAGCAGTTGAGAACTCTAACATCAAAACTTGGCCTATCTTCATCCAGCAGCTAAATTTTAATAGCCTGGACCTGTAAAATCGAATTCAGCCTACTTTGAATCAGCTTTAGAACATGAATGGATCGCCATGCCCTTTCCTTCAGAGCTTTCTAATTTCAATCTAGATACTCTTAGATATTAGATCTACTTCTTAACGTATCATATCTCTCAGAAATATCCCATTTCCTCCCTCTGTTCCCCTATATGCTCAATCCTCATAACAATCTACTATCCCCTTCATCTGCTCAACCCCAACTCCCTTCCCTCTCCATCCCCAAAACACCTCTCCACCCACAAAAGCCCCACCACCCTCTCCATCCCACCCCACCATAACCTCCTCCCACAAAACCTCAAAATCCCACTTCTCCCCACAATAATCTCCTCCTCCTTCCCCAGCCAATTCACCTTCCCCCTAAAAGACCTACCCAAAAGCCCTATTTCCTCGTTCACCCTGTTCTACTATAACTCCCGAAGTCTTTCCCGAACAGGTTTAATAATACTTAATTCGTACTATTTTAGATATCTAGGAAGACAGTACAATTTTCGTATTTTGGGGAGAAATGGAAGAGAGGCAGGATAGTGGAGAGTTTAAGGAATTATGGATTTTGGAAGAGTTTTTGGGGGATTTAGAGGGGTGGGAAGAGGGTTAGGTGGTAGGGGGTTAGGTGGTAGGGGTTTGGGGGAGGTAGGCAAATAGGTGAGAAATAGGTTTTGAGGTGGTTTTAGGGAAATTTTTTGGGTCGGTGAACGAGGTTATTACTTAAAGATATTTTAGACGATAGATTATGTTATTTGGGTTAGGCTGGATTGGGTTATAATTTGAGATGGTTGTTTTATGTTAAATTTTTAGTTTTTAGGAGGTATAGAGTTCTAGACTCTAATTTTCAAAAAGTATATCTAAAAGAAGAGATTTAACTTGAGTCTGTGTCTTTAGAAGAAAGACAATATTCCACCAGCTCAATTACCTCTTACCTATACGCAGAGGAATGATACAGAATATATTTGACGATTTCCTCAGTGGTTAGAACCTTCCTTACAAACCTTCGAGGATTATTTTTGTTCCACAAGAGTTTAATGAAGTTATTATATATAAAAGTTCGAAAATTTCTGGAGCAAACTTCGGAAATATTATAGTCAAGTGAAATAGCTAAAGTTCTGATGAATGCTGATAATTGCTTTGTAAAATGTACTATAGATAGTTATAGGTCTTTTTAATAATTTTGGTTGCATGGCTGTTTAGGATATTTGGATCATAACCTCAGTTTATAAAGGAACTCAGATAATCCATTAAGTGATAAAAAATTAACGAAACAACTTAAAGTGTAAAATTTAGTGTTTCTTAGAAGTAAATAAGCAAATTTTTATTTTTCATGAATCTCTTCATGCTTCTTCAAATTTCCCTGCTGAGTAAACCCTTTGTGGCAAATACTTCACTTATATGGTTTCTGCCCTAAGTGCATCCTAGCGTGATCAATGAAATTCCATGTTTTTGAGAACTGCATTCTTCAATCCTGATATTCTCAATGGATGATCCTGTTATTTTCTTCCCGTTCTCCTAGTCTTCTTGTAAGTAATGGAGTGCTTATACTTATCCAACACAATATCGCTTTCAAGCTTAGGTTCTTCATCGAGAAAACCAACTAAATCATTCCCCGCTTTTGCTGTCTCGAAGTGAAAGTTATTTTCTCTGTTTGGTGGGGCTTCTGAAGTACAGTATATGCTATCCCGTACTAATAATTTCAGACCAGATTGAATGAATATCTGATTTGTAGTCTCAGAAACACCACTTTGGTTTATGTCAGGAAATCAGAGTTTGTTCAAAACTGTTTCATTTATAGTATCATTACCTCTGGTTACGAGAAATTTTTTGTGATCAATTCAATCAATGGCTTCTCTAAATTCATTCTCTTCGTTATTTCCTAAAGTCTGCCTACTCTTAGGAGGTAATAGATAAGGGAGAAGTCTAGATTCTTTAACCATAAATATCATAGGGAGATCGAGACTTTGAGATTCATCCATATTAGCCAAGGCAACTTGGAATCATTTAAAATTGTTTTTCTCTCCGGCATGTTGGTTTATCCGATATCAATTGGGTGGTACCTGGTGCATCTAAGAAAATAATTATTCAATATATCTACTTCCTTTGGGGTTTTGGGGTTTTGGGGTTTTGGGGTTTTGGGGTTTTGGGGTTTTGGGG